CTCCTAGTCATCTCTCCTTTGCCTTCCTGTTACTGACTTACCATGTCCTGCACTGTGTCTCTGTGTGGAGGTGGCCATCTTGGTAGAGGCAGGGCTTTGCTTCCTCACGTCAGAAAAAGGAGAACAGTGAGCATCATAGTAGTGACATCACCAAATTCACACTCCAAATCTCTTACCACTAGCAGTCAGAGGCAGCAGAGCCTTAGCTTCACACTGCAGATATACAGATATGAGGCTGTAGGCACCTGGAAGTACACTGCTATGTATACTGAGTGCTCCTGTCCATTCATAAACTGTGGATATAGTATGAGTTACTATATCCACAATCATGTAGAGCACTTCCTGTTCATTTATAAATGGGGACACAGTAAACATACTAAGCCCACAGTTATTTACAAACAGCTGATCGCTCTCCATCCTGACTTGCTGTCACAGGTGGCTGAGCCTGTGGTGGTGTGGTGCGGAAGGAGAGCTCAGCATCATGACAGCTGACTCCTTCCCACCTCCGCTCGGCATCCTGACTCTTCGCCTGTCACAGGAGCTGAGCGCGGCATGCAGGAGGAGAGCACGGCCTACAGGGACAGGTGCCTCATCCCCGCTCGGCACCCTGAGCTGTCTGCTCCCCGCTCTTCCTCCTGAAACCTTCTCTCCTCCCCGCTGGATGCCGTTTTCTGTACTCTCGGATCCCCGCTGCCTCCACCAACACAGGCAGGGGAGAGCAGCAGGGATCAGATTGGACACAGACCGGTGTCCAATCTGGACCATAGGACACAGCTCACAGCAGCTGCCACTCTGGAACGCACCGCAATTGGTATGAACAAGCCCTTACACACTGGGAATTCCTTTTTTTTTTTTTGAGTTTATATTATTTCAGATGGGTGGCCCAATCAGGTCTGCCTGTCAGTTTTTCCGGCGGATTCGATCGGAAGCCCCATGTTAGTCTATAGGCAGCCGGATCTAAACTGACCTTTACCCCTGAGTACCCGATTACCCCCAATTCCATTATGGATGACCTGAGTGTGAGGGATTGGGGGTAATCTGATGTAAAAGGACACATGTCTACTTACATCCGACTTCCCATAGATCTAACATGGGTCTGGTCAGTTCAACTTGCGATGGAAGAGAAAACTGTAGGGAATGGTGGCATCCATTCCATACTTCTCTGATCAGCAGGGTATCCATGCACAGATCCCCTGCTGATCAGAACTGACAGGCACCACTGTAAAAGGGAACTTACTGCAAGCACTACCTGAATTTTCTGTGAGTGCTCAAATCTAGTATACAACTATTAAAAAATCTGCCAACACAGTACAGACAGGGTTAATTGGAGTTAGCATAACCTCCCACAGCCACCTCTTACATAGGCGAGGAAGCTAGGTAGGATATTTAAGGAATTAAATAGCACTTCAAAGTGCAAGCAGTCATTTTGAAATATTTTTTATGCTATGTGAATGGGAATATGTAATGAATATAAAGTAGGTGTTGTCTCAGATTGGCTGCAAACGTGGAAATACACTTTAAGTATATGCTGCCACTGCTTTATTGTTATATCGGGAGGGTGGTTGTGTTGTTGGATCAGTTTACACATGAAGGCCTTCGGGTTTGTCATTTCACCACAGGATAGAACAAGTATATAAACCAACATATAGAAAGCTAGGATTATTTACCAGCAGCCAGCCTTCCATTTGCTGGGGAATTGCAAGTCAATGGGGTTAATTTGTTGAAGCAGTAGAGGATGTTCACTTTGCAGAGTCAATGCCTATGATTTGTGTTTGCACTTGATTGCCTGATTGTAATGTACACAGCTCTATCTTTCTCTAAGCGAAGTGAACATTCCCTTTGCAAAGTGAACATTATTTTTTAAATCAACCTTGCAGTCTGTCGTGGCTTGATGGCAATTGTAGTTCCTCGGCTGCTGGCTTCTTGTTCCTTTTGCTCATTATAAAACAAATCTAATTTCTAAAGCAAAATGACTCGAATGGTTGTATTTATCTCAACCTAGCCTTTTCTCTGTGATCTTTTAAGACTAGCAGAATTTGACCTGTACCCTTATAATACTCTAGCAGAATCAGCATATTCGGTCCTATAGTTGTGTTACTTTGATCCTTGTCACAAACTGCATCTGCAAAATGAGATGCACCCACATATAAAGCACAGGTAAATAAGAAAGTCAATGTCCTTTATTGGATGTTGAAAAATAGCTTACACTACCATCATGTACCCGCATGCCTGCTTGCCTTTGTTATAAGCAGAATCAGAACGTGTATTTTCTCAGGTACAATAGCATTCCTCAGTCATTTCAGCAGCCTCTTTCATTGACCCATTATGTGCAGGTAATTTTCTTAAATACATATACTATCTTTTAATAGAAGTCAGAGTCTGTAAACTTTGCTCATCTTCTCCTTACAGCCAGATCAGACACAAAGCTGACTCAGAAGATATTTGCTCAGGATAAAGTAGCCCAGACTGCCCATGAGCAGCTTAGCTATCTGATACACGAAGATCTGTTAATATACTGAAATAAAGCCGAGGTGGCCATCTGTCAGGACGTGGTGTTGTTCAGCACCTCATTTTGGCATGTAGAAAAGGCCTTTCATCGAGCTTTGATATGTTTAAGTGTGAAAGGGACCTGCTATGAAAAAGAAGCCCCTGACTTCAAGCACAAGTAACTTTTTTCCTGCCAGCAAGCATTGATTTAGTGCACAAGACAAACATAGATGTACTTTCCTTTAGATATGTAAACAGTTTTCAGATTACTCCAAGGGCCAGGTTACATGCGTCATGGCTGTTCCCCTTCCTAGGTGGCCAGTGACATATGCAATATGTTGTGGCAAACAAAGGGTTTTAATAGGTTTTGTGTTCAGGGTGGTGAGTGGGGAGGTCAGCAAACACTCTCAGGTTCATCATTCTCCTTATGGCTGTGAATAGACATGTAAATTCCCAGTACTGTGCACTTCTGGATTCGATGTCAGTGCAGTGCCTGCGGGGAAGGAGATCTCCAACTGCAGCAAATAGGTGACATCAGGGGTCTGTTTATACCCCTGATATCTCCATAAAGTGACCTGAAATCTCAGTCTATGTACAGACACAAAGGTTTTTCAAAACCCCCTTGTAATAAGAATTACATGGAAAAGTAAAAAAAATAACAAGTAAGTAAACCATAATAAAATAGTAACACAACACATGTTATAACCTTAAGAATGAAATCCAGGGCCTTTTAGTATTCCGTATACTGCTAAATAGATGAAATGTAAAGGTTTTAAGAGCCAGCCTTTTATTAATAATTTTGCATATCTTTGATTTTTATTGCTTTACATTTTCATATGTTTTTTTTTTTAACTCTGTATAGTTTTAGATTTTGTAGGAATGATTTGGATTATTGTGTGTTTATTAAAAATATAATTACAATAAACATTCATGCAGCTATCTGCAATTCTACAAAATATGGTTTAGGGGAATCTTTTGCAAACTTTAGTGTCTTTAATGTGAACAGCAGCCAAATTGGTCTGGTTATCTTATGCGCCAAAGGCTAAAAACCGCTTCCAGCAACAGAAGGGTTAATAGAGGCAAAATGGCATGTGGGGTTACTGAGCATCAGTGAACTATAAAATATGTACAACAACAACTGGGCAGACACCTACTTTATTAGGAAACCTTGAATAGGTATGTAGTTGGTTAGCAGCAGTTTTTAGTGATGAAACACATAAATGTATATACTTTTATTAAAGAGAAACTGTCACCTTACCCATGTAGGGCAACGTTATAGTGTCCCCCCGAAAAGCCCTCCAACCTGATGTACCAGTGCTCCCTTGCCACTCTTCCTTCCTTCATAGCCGGCTACAATACCCGACACTTTTACTACCCATATGACCTCCTCTGCTGTGACAATTCTTAAGTCTACAAGCCAATGGCTAGGTCCAAGCACTGTTACATATCCAGAGGTGTGACATCACCACTCTGGCAGAGGAGAAGGAAGGAGCAGTGAGGGAGCGCTGGTAGGGTGTGTATAGGGGGGGTCAGGGGATCCCCTTTGCCTAGACCCTGTCATCTGCATGTGTAAGGTGATAGAGTCTCTTTAATAAAAAGAGATTTTATACAAGCTCAAAATATGATAAATCCTAATTTGATATTTCTGTGATTTTTTTTATTTTCTCTGCTTTTGTGTATCATAGTATAATTTAATGCGTTGGAGGTGTTTACTATTTGACACAAGCTTACAATTGGATAAAGGGATTTCTTAATGCAGAACAGGAAAGAAAGGGAAACAAAGAATACATTGGTGCTGAGTAAATGGTCTATACCTGTTCAAGATATAGAAAATGTTCATTTAGCTTTGTGAATAAAATGAAGCCTTATTACATTTGAATACCCAGTCATGTGCAGGGAAATTTTGGCTTGCAAATGACTAGATAATTAAAGTGAATAGCCTTTTCTCCAATACAGATGAAGTGTTAACGATGGTATCTTGTTTATAATAGGACTTGAGCTAACTGACAAGTTCTTTACAAAATACAACAAAGCACATTTGTCTCACGCAGCTCTGTCATATGCATATACTTTGCTTCAGCTTGATTGAAACCTTAGCTTAGTGAATAAGGTGAAGCTCTGCTGACTTCCAACACCCAATCATGTGCAAGCAAAAATACTGCTTTTTTATTTTATTTTTATTGCTCATGATTTGGTATTCTTTGTGAAATGAATTTTCGCCACATTTACTAAGCTAAGGGAAAATTTCCTTGGAAAGTGCAAATTCAATTGTAAAGTGAACAGCATATTTGCCTTTAGTAAATAAAACCCTTTATTTCAAGTTAAAATACCCTTTATTGCTTGCAAATGTGTTTGACGCTGTACATTTCTTTCAATGTGCTCTAAAGGAAATATCAAAATATACAAATGGGGCTCTCTCATGTCATGTGTAATTTACATAACCTAATGTATTTATTTTAAAGAAGATATAAAGAAAATAAAAGTACCAAATCTAACAGTAAAATATTTTTTAGGGACGTTGCTCAAGGGAGAACTGCAAATATCTTCACCCGCCAACGCATCTAAAAACCCAGCTAGAAATAAATGGCAGGAACAATCTTATTCAGCAGAAAACAGCTGCTGCCATGCTTGCCCAGCAGATGCAGTTCATGTTCCCGGGTACACAGCTGCAGCAAATGGTGAGTATGCGTACATGCTGAGTATGTGCACATGTAAACATCTGCCTGGATTTACTTTCTGTGCCGGGTGTAGCTATAATTCCCTCATTTACCGGTGCCGTAAATTAGTGGTAAACAACATTCGCTTGGAAAGAATAACAAAAGAAATTGAGAGGCTACAGGATTGCCTTGTGTCTTTCTGTCATTGCTTACACACGTGTGAACCGGCATCACTGTGCACACGTGTGTTTGTGTTACTTTGAGTTTGCTTACTCTAGTAGGTAATAGTTGCTGTATAGTATGATCAGTTTGTTTTTGACAATGTAGAGAAATGCTGTTAACTTATATCCCCAGATACACATTTATCAAATTTGCTGGCAAAACATTTTTTTTTATTGAAACATTGATACCTTTGTATTATAATGCAACTTTTATAATATTTCTAATGGCTCAACTTTAGCTTTCTACTATAACAACTATACATTACGTTATATAATTGGAAGTCGTTCAAACATGACAGTGGAAGTAGATCTTGGACGTTTTTGACATTACAGAGAAGCAATAATGGAATGAACAATATCCAGGGGATTTTAGCAAAAGAAAGCTTGATCCCATCTTCTCTTCATAATCTTAGAATCAGTACAAGGAAGATGTTGTACATCAAAATCTGTTTATTTATAGCCAGACATCATCCTAGTTTTAGCTCCACAACTAGTAGTTTGTCCTGATAATAGAGTTTGTTATTATGGTGAATGATGGACTTTGTCACCATAGTACATTACAGCAAAGAATTGCTGTCCCTGAAAAAACTTTGATCGTAATTTAAATTATATATAATACACCCTGCCTGCTAAGTTGCTTAATAAATTTAATTTGGGTTAACAGTGTTTTCTAATATAATTTTTATAATTGTAAATTACATAATTTTTATACAGTTTACACATAATCTGACACCTGTCAAATTTCTCACCATTGCAGTAATCCTGGCCCACTGTAACAATCATCCCTACTCACGCCGGTCAAATAACTCACTCATTTTAGACAGTCTTATCTTTGAAACTGTGTAGAGCTTTTTAAAGGTGGAAGTGGTTTTACCTGAGAATACACCCAAATATATGTGCTGGTCTGTGACTATGGGGTCTATTCAGGAAGCTGCCGAAGGATCTAGCCGTAGCTTCGGCCCCAGGACCCCTTCGGTTCAGTAGAACCGAAGGGGTGCTGTACGGGCTACTCACAATAGCCCGTACAGCTCCCGAATGTGGCCGAGCGGCTCAGTCGAGCCGAACGCATATGCTTCGGCTCGACTGAGCCTGGGTGAAATTCAAAGCTGGCGGAACGGCCGGCCATTGGACAGCCTGCTACTGACAGCCGGGCGGAGCCAGCCGTCATCTCACGGCTGGCTCCGGCCACTTGCAGAGACAGATCAGCGTCCCTGGCTACCAGGTAACCAAGGACGCCGTTCTGTCATTACACTGCGAAGCCTCAGTGTAAGCTGTGATATCACGGCGGCTCAGTCGGGTTCTCAGTGTGTAATGACAGACTCTGCTGAGCTCTCATGGTACCGACAGTTCAGCGTCCCTGGTTACCTGGTAACCAGAGGACGCTGATCTGTCAGTATCATGAGGAACTTTTAACCTCCCTGGCAGTATGATTATTCAGGTGGTTTTAGACCAGGTAGAAAACAGCAATAGTAAATTAGAATTTCCCAACGAATCGCTATCGCTCAATTCTGCAATTTATTCTAATTTACTATCGCTGTTTTATACCTGGTCTAAAACCACTTTTGACCTAAAGGGACGCTTTTTGGATGCCATGGATGTTCACAAGTTTCCAGGCAGAAAGAACAGTAAAAGTGCAGGCAGGGCACTGGACAGAGCTCTAGGGACAAAATTGAAGTGAAATAGTTTGATACATAAGTGTAATCATAGCAGATTACATTGTATTCTGTGTAAATGTAAGTCTGGCTCTGGGTTACCGCTCCTGGTACTGAAAGTTAACCCAGAGCCAGACTCGGGAATACCACCAGGGAGGTTAAACTAGATAACGGGGGGAGGGTAAAATAAAAACCAAAAAATTTAATATTACACACCCAATCGTGACAGATAACACAGAAGGAAAACATACAGGATCAGATAGTGGGCTCACTCCAGTCAACATAGTCAAAGTAGTTAATCAAGCCAACATAGAAAGCCTAACAAATAAAATAGAAGACCTTGAAGTTATGTTACTCATTTATAAACCTCCAAATATAGGGGAAGAGGAGGAGGCCCACCTACAATCCCAAATGGGAAACAGGGAAATGTTGTGGTAATGGGCGACTTCAATTACCCAAGCATCAATTGGGCTAATGGAACTTCCCATTCGGCAAAGGAGGCCAGTTTTCTTAATATGTTACGAGATAATTTAATGGATCAAATGGTTGATGACTAGAAAAATGCAATCCTTGATCTGATCATCAGAAATAATACGGAGTTAAATATTTGTAATCGTGTAGACATTGGGTAATAGTGATCACAAGGTGATTGCTTTTAATATTGGGTGGAGTAAAGGGAAGGCTAGTCGAACGAGAAGCCTAAACTTCAGGAAGGCCAACTTTGATAAACTACTAAATATAGTGGGTGAAATCAAATGGGAAAACTTATTTCATAAACTAAACTTTGACCAAAAGTGGGACTATTTCAAGAACGAATAAAAAAATGCCGTATACCGTTGGGTAACAAATGTAAAAGATCCAAAACGAAGCCAATATGGCTAAATAAAACGGTAAAACAACACATTAAGGAAAAGAAAGTAGCGTTTACTAAGTATAAAAGGGAGGGGACAGTATTGGCATTCCAAAACTGCAAAGAATGTAATAAAAGATGTAAACTGGTTGTCCAGGCAGCTAAAATTGAATGTGAGAAATATATCGCAACGGTTAGTAAAAAGAACCCCACATTTTTTTATCAATACATAAACAGTAAAAAGGGGAGAAAGGAACAGATAGGCCAAATAAAGGACAAAAATTAGAGGTTAATAACAAACGACAGGGAGAGGGCCGTGGCGCTAAATACTTTTTTCTCGTCGGTATTCACTAGGGAAAAAGACGGGTTTAATGTAAATGATAAAAACACAAAATTTAACAAGAAATACACCTGAGTGGTTGACTGAAACCGGGATACAACATAGGCTTAAACTACTTAATGCAAATAAAGTATTAGGACCTGATAATCTACATCCCAATGTACTCAAGGAACTGAACAAGGAGATAACGAGACCCTTGTTCCTCATTTTTAAAGAATCCGTAATGGCTGGTAGAGTACCAAGCGACTGGTGAAAGGCAAATGTGGTACCAATATTCAAAAAAGGGTCAAAATGCCAACCGGGGAACTATAGACCAGTTAGTCTGACATGCATAGTATGTAAACTGTTAGAGGGAATTATTAAAGACTACTTAGTGGAATTCGTCCGGGATCATGGCATAATAAGTGATAACCAGCATGGATTTCGGAAGGATCGTTCTTGCCAGACCAAGCTGCTAACCTTTTACGAAGAGGTGAGTAGAGATCAGGATGGAGGGAGGGCAGTGGATGTAGTGTATCTGGACGTTTCCAAAGCATTCGATAAGGTGCCACATAAACGCTTGTTATACAAGCTAAGGGCTATGGGCATAGATGAATTAGTGTGCACGTGGATAGAAAACTGGCTAAAGGAATGCGTACAAAGAGTATCGATAAACGGCACCTTTTCAGACTGGGCTGAAGTCATGAGTGGCGTGCTCCAGAGTTCTGTGCTGGGCCCCATGTTTTGTAACCTGTTTATTAATGATATCGGGGAGGGAGTGAGTAGTCATGTCTCAGTGTTTGCTGATGATACAAAAATTGGGAGGGTAATAGACACCGATTTAGATATTATAACATTACAGGAGGACCTGGATAAACTAGGGGAGTGGGCAACTGTATGGCAGATGAAGTTCAACGTCGATAAATGCAATGTAATGCACTTTGGAGTTAAAAACAGGCAAAAGGCAACTATACAGTTATGGGTGTGCCACTAGGTAAATCGGAAACGGAGAAGGATTTGGGGGTCATTATAGACCGCAGATTGAATAACCGCTCGCAGTGCCAGACTGCTGTAAACAAAGCAAGCAGAGTCCTGTCTTGCATTAAGACAGGAATGTATTGCAAGGACACGTCTGTAATTTTGCCACTTTACAGATCACTGGTTCGGCCACATCTGGTGTATGCGGTCCAGTTTTGGTCACCAATACTAAGAAAAGATGTCCTTGAGCTTGAAAAAGTCCAGCGGAGGGCAACCAAAATCATGAAGGGGTTGGAGGACCTGAACTATGAAACAAGGTTGTCCAAATTAAATATGTTCACTTTGGAAGTTAGGCCGACCCGAAGCTAGCCGCAGCAAGTCGATGTACGGCTGATTTTAGTCGGTGTACGGCTGAAATCAGCCGTACAAGCCTGAAGTGAATAGCCCAACAGCGTTCGGCTCACTTCATTTCGGGTCGGTTATTCACTGGGCTGCCTACGGCAGCTTAGTGAATAGACCCCCAAATGTTCTGAGACCTAATTGCTAAAACTGCTCTAACCATGTATACCCAACTTTACTTTCCTTTGCTGATATTTTGTTCCTGTGTTTAAGTTAGTGAATATCTGTATAAAAACTATAAAGAACTAGAAAACTCCTGAACCTGCTTACTACAAATACAACAGGTCTGAAGTACATTTTCCTAATTTTTTGACAAAGCTTTTAGATTCATATAATTTATATATTTACCGATTTCACAACTCTTTCTTGCAGTCTCTAGAAAAGTGTAAATTGGTTATTTAACCAAATGTATGATTTAATATCAGACTGCTAAATGTTCTACATTAACTGATTTAAGAGATTACTCAATATGTTGTTCTTCAGTTGCACTTACTAATGTATTTTATTTCAGCACACATTTCCTATAGGTCCTATAGGAACAAATACCGCAATTAGCTTTGCTCCATATCTTACTCAAGTAACACCAGGTGTTGGCTTGGTTCCAACTGAAATGCTGCCCTCTACACCTGTTATGGTTCCAGGAAGTCCACCTGTATCAGTCGCTGGTTCTACTGCTACTCAGAAACTTCTCAGGACAGATAAATTGGAGGTACAGTGTCCAATGTATCCTTAGCGAATTGTTTGGCAAGAGTCAGCAGATCAGAAAAAGCCGTAACAAGATTATGCATTAAAATATATTGGAAAAGGTCTGACAATGTCAAGAAAAGGTCATTACTTAAGCAGCTCAACTGTGTGTTAGAATGGTGCGTTGACAGTTAACTAAGTTAAAGAATAAAATGACTTGTCTGTAGACATATTTATGTGCCCTAGTGTCCTATTGACATTGCTACACTTGCTCTACATTCCACTAAGGAGGAAAATAGTTGCACACACCACATTGCATGCATCATCTGAGCAATATGGAGGAAGATGTCTTTCTATTCTCCGCAGCACCTGAACCCACCTTTGTTTTTGTGCTGTACTCGTTTACTTATTATCTTCCTTTCCTCTGCACATTGCAGTAAGGGAAGGAGGGGCCAGATGATGCTGAGATTTTCCATGTTCCAAGTTGAAAAATCTCTGTGTTAAAAAGGAGCTTTCATTGGTCAGAGTTATTTGTTATTACAATTTACGATAGCTCTAAATGACCTAATCCTCACCTCAGTGTTGGGTATCAATTCAAGGGCAAGAAATGATGGTTTGTATTCACCCTTACCCAAATTGGTTTACTTAGGTAGGACTAAAGAATATTTACTTTGCTAAGTTAGTGTTCACTTAGTTTAGTGAAGAAGGTAAAGCTATGTTCACTTTCTATGCCCATCCTTGTGCAGGGGCAATTTGAAAACTAACTAGGATTTTTGCTTGCACATGATTATGTAATTACAGCTAAAGCAGCTTTACTCTTTTTACTAAGCTAAGCGACCATTCATTTTGATAAGGTTTAATTCTCAATTTATGTAGTAAATTATCCCCTAAGGAGTAAAGAATGTTCACTTTCGCTTTGTCAATAAAATGAGTTTGTGGCATTCCCTGTTATGTGCAGTGGAAACAAAAAACAAAAAAATATGATTTTTCCTTCCATAATTCCACAAGATCTGTTTCCCTTTTCACCAAGTCAGTCAGGATATTAACTACAGCTGAGCAAAAGCAGGGTAAAAGTCTGCTTGGAACCATGGGCCTTTGTCAGCCATAAATAGGAACAGAGACACAAGTCCCATGCTCTTGTGCAGTAATTTACTTTGTTAGTGAACAATAGAAGACATTCATGAAGCAAGAAGAAGTCAAGTTAGCCTTAACAATAAAGTGACTGTACACATTTTTAAATCTTAACAATAGAGACTGTACATGTTTGTTGTGTTGTGGGGTCATTTTTAACCTTTCAATGTACTTCTTTTAAAGTTAAATATAATTGTATTTTAAGAATGCCACATTTTTATTATATGTGTCCGTCTTTATTGTTTATTTTAAGGCCTCATTGGGTGTTATTTAAAAAGCAACTATTTGTATGGCTTTGTAAAATTGTGTGAATGGCATTTTGAAACAGCAGCACCCTCTCACTCCTTGTTATTAGCCATCCATTGGGTGTTGTTGTCCAGAAGTATAGTCCTTGATACAATGGCAAAAATCAACTGTTTAGTAACAGTTGTAGTTGTCGTATTGGGCCAAAATCCTGTGCTCTAAGATTCACACAGTATATGCTTCAGACATGGCATATACAGCAAGTAAGTGTTGGTTTCTCCACTTTTTTAGAAATTATTCAACTTAAAGGATAACTGTACATTTAAAACATGATTAATATATCGAGAGATAACAATCTTTTAGCAACTTTGAAAATCTAAACTCATACCTCTGCCTTTTCTTTCCCAGTTCTTTCAGAGTCGTCTTCACAGGTCCAGTCTAGTGCAAGCATTGCTATGTTAATGTTTAACTTGTCTGTATCCACACTTTGCCTGCAGACAAGGAGTAAGAACAAGAAATCCATATGCTCTACATACCTATTTAGTTCGCTGTCTTCCATGCCAGGAGATTATTATTTCTATGCTTTGGTGCAGTCATTGGAGATTCCACACTGCTAAAAGCTGGCAGCCCATTTATGAGTTTAGTTACAGTGAATAGAACACATGGCTACAGCTCAGGACTGAGGATGTGTAAGTGATTGTGGATCCATCTAGCTGTACATTCTGCTATTACCTTTTTCTTAGTCTTTGTCTGCAGACCAATTAATCCAAGCAGTATAATGTTTATGATTGCAAGCAGAATAATGTTTACACTGCCCTGGTCCTTGGAAGGCAGCTTTGGTATGCCTGCATATGTAAAAAGAGCGAACATGTTTTAAAAGTAGAATCATCCTTTAAATGTGTGTTTAAAAACTTTCTTTAAGTTGCTAAGCAATTTCACCCTCCTACTGATCATTCTTTGTGGTACCTCTTTGAGATTTATTTTCTGGTTTATGCCTCCAGTGCCACTTGCAATTGAAACCTGGCATGACACTTACGGTGCAAACTTGCTACATATAGGGGCATATTTAAAAAGCTGTCTGAAATGTTTGCTTTTCATTTTGCCACACTTTGTCCTATATTGATGTTAGATTAAAGTAAAACATAGAGGTGAAAAATACAGTATAAAATGCCATTTTGGGAAAGGTTTGTTCTTTGTTGGAAACAATGGCTTACTGCAGGTTCAGGGTGGTATAAGCTATATCAATTTAAACCTTTGAAAGAAGAACTGGAGAGATTCTCCCAAGTGTCTTTATAAACAAGTTAAACTCTCAGAATCAATATTTACCAAAATGTGCAAAAAAAGTCAGCATTGTAATTGCAACCTTTTGATTTTTTTTAATAAACACTATAAGAGGTTAGAAAAAAAACATTCATGTAAAAACCTGTTTAGAGGGAAATTTAATGAGACATTAGCTTTGTTGTGCATTAGTACAATATATACAGTATAAAACCTGTTTCTAGGCAGACTTTCAGTGATGTGTCCTTGTGTGTCTTGCGTAGGTATGCAGGGAGTTTCAGAGAGGAAACTGTGCACGGGGAGAGACTGATTGCCGCTTTGCTCACCCAGCAGACAGCACGATGATTGATACAAATGATAACACTGTAACCGTTTGTATGGATTACATTAAGGGTCGCTGCATGAGGGAGAAATGCAAATATTTTCACCCTCCTGCACATTTGCAGGCCAAAATCAAAGCTGCACAACATCAAGCCAACCAGGCTGCAGTAGCAGCACAAGCAGCTGCTGCAGCTGCAACAGTGATGGTAAGTGCCAGTACCTACCCACATTCAGTAGCACTGTTTTCAAAGTACAAACACTTTTTATATTGCTTTTCTGTAACTGTAAGGCTCTTTATTTTATATGGTAAGACATTGTTCTGAGGTGAGGAAAATATTGTTTTATCCAGCTTCTTGCTATGCATACAGGTTGCTCAACAGAACAGCAAAGGTGACCAAGGCTGCAGCTCTTACAAAGCACCTAAAATTCCTAATAATTATTGCCTATCTGCATTCAAATCATTTCGAATAAAGCTATTAGAATGTTTTAATATTTTGCTTTTGACACAGGGGAGTAAAGCCTGTGCCATCAAAATGCAAAGAGAACTATTCTGGCAAAAGGATCACTGACCTCACCATCTTAACCCCACTTCTGTTTAAACTACAAAACATTGTAACCATTTATGGGAGCTGTACATTTCCATTCTATGTGAAATTCACCAGGGACACTGATGGGAAGATTCCCTATTCCCACTATTATGACTGGCTCATACATAATACCTGTGGAGAATCCACTAGGGGCCACAGAGGACAGAAATTCTGTTTGTACTAACCCTCCAGTACTCTGGTGCCCAACTTGCAGCACTTTGGTACTTATGTAGCTCTCTGACATTTGTGTAGGGTTTGTAATGACAGTGATATCTAGCAGTCCTAAGTAACATATTACCAGTCTCCTGCAGCATGTCTCCCGTCTCAAACCACTCCTGGTGCACATCCATTATAGCCCATAAGTTGACTATCTCTGCTGTAGTAGAATGAGAATATATATTCAGAAATTGTAGTAGCTCTTTTGAAAGGTCAATCCTTGCCTGTGTGCAAGGAGTAGAAGAAGATGTCCTCGCAGAAGGGAATTAAACCCTGTCTTTCTCCATTCAAAACAGAAGTATACATTTGACTGGAATTGCTCTTTAAGCCACTTCAAGCACTGAAAGTATACATCACATCGTATTGTAGCTGTAGTCTTCCTTATCAAGCCCATTAATAGGCTTGTTGTGAGTTTTCTTTTTTCAGTATTCACTGCTTTTAGAGACAATCTAAAATATAGTTATATCCATTTTTGACTGTGCCTTGTAATTGTTCTGAACTTAGAACCTTTTTTTAAGAAGTACATCAAAAGACAATTTCCCATTTTACATACTTGTATCGGTAGTAGTAACCTGCACCTTGTTATTTTAGTACGAGATTAGTTGAGAGAAAGGCTTCTATCTTCAGCATGTACACGTCATCCCACTACACCTAACATTTTATCCATCTGTTAATATACAAAAGAATAATTGTCCATGTTAGGAGTGTGAAATAGTGTGTAAAGATACATTATATAAGTGTGACTTGTCATGTCACATAACATGCGAATAATAGTGGCATTCTAATCCAACAAATACTACTAACATAATGAGCACAAAATTGTCACTCTCATTCCACATTCAGATTGAAGAAGCTGAATACAATCTATTGTAATAACAGTCATTGCAAAGATTAGCTATTGTGTTCCTTATTGAAGAAAAAAAAAAGTTGCAAGTGCATTAGAACCTGTGTTGCTGTGTATTTACAACCCATTCAAAATTAAAGTGACACTAAACTCAGAAGTTAAATCTCTGCTGTAGATCCTCAAGCCATCTCAGAATTCATGCTGACACTGTCCTTCCTTCTGGGTGTTAGATACTTTTGTTCCCCATGGTCCCTGTGTGTGTGTGTGTGTTGTAAAGTAGCCACCACTCCAAGCTCGCTCCTGTGATTTAAGGCCTTAACGCAATGCGCAATAATGAATTTTTAGATTCCAACATTGTGATTCTGGCCTTAAAGAAAAGGTTAGGCTACACATAGCCTGATAAAAAAGAGCATATTTCCAGAGGTTTTTAAAAGGTAAAGATTTTCTATAGAGAACATTTTCACAAGACATACTGTGTATATGTGTGTGTGTGTGTGTATATATATATATATATAGATAGTATATCCTGCATCTTCCGGGATGAATGGCACTGGGTGTCATGCAAACAAGAAGAATTAAGACATCTAGGTGCAGAAAGCTATTAATGGGACAGCATCAGAGAGGAGGTGAATATCGGAGCCAGAGCTCATTTGTTCTGAAAAAACCCTGACTTTCAGAAAGTCACCTTTCGCATAGGAACATTTGAGGTTTCAGCAGCATTCTGACAACAACAAAGGTATTCTAACATGTGATGCCTGCTATTCGGCAGTAATAATTGTTCACATTGTTTACTCTAACCACAGGTGGGTTTTTTTAGGTATATTCACCTAAAATACTCTGAAATATTCAAAGTAAATCTGATTGACATTTTAAACACTTACAACTAAGGGCCCACACCATCTCCATTGGAGCTGTGCTGGCTGTTGTTACCAGCACAGCCCCAATGCAAGCATAGGCAATTTGTCATGGATGGTGTGCATTCACGTTGCAGTAGGAATGCGGTGGTGTGCACTGAAAAAAAGTAAGGCATGCCTTACTTTTTTTTCAACGCAGTGGGATGCGACACGGTACAACTGTCTCGCACCCCACTGTGCCTGTAGAACTGAATGAAATATCACTGGTGACAATTCAATAAAGTTCTAACCAAAAAAAGTATACAGTGCGATGCGCTGCACTTCGGCACTTTGATGGGCACCGCTGTGCGATTTGCCCTTAAAAGAGAACTATGGGGTAACCTTTTTATCCCATGGTTCTCTTTAGGGTCAAAGGAGGACATATACTAACGCCTTACCGTGACCCAAAGCTCAGTATATAGCGAGCTATTGCCGGCTACATACTGAGAGCGCCGCTGCCGGGACGGATCCCGACAATACTGTCGAGATCCAGCTGGCTGATTGACAGCGTGCTCTGCATATCTAGAGGCAGAGCCAGCTGTGCCTGCCCCTCCCCCTGTTCCTCCAATCAGTGCTGGAGGATCGGAGAGGGGAGGGGGGGAATCTCTGCAGGGAGATGATCGGGAAGTGAGTTACGGTATGTGTTCGCTCACTTCCCTATCAATAGAGCTAACGTGTGACAAGTTCAATGTCACACATCGGCTCTAACTATGAGGATGAGTTTAAATCACTCACCTCATAGTTCTCCTCCAATGCCAAACCTCCACTGTGCACGTCCCTTATTTTGTTACAGGGGCAAGACTAGGCTAAACCCTTCCCACCTCTCAATGGAAGAGGAATGACATTTGGACAGGGCTTAGTCCTGAAGTCGGGAGTGACAGGCCCCTGTCACAAAGTAGAACTAATTCAGAATGCAGGATAATAAAAGAAAATGTCATATATTTTTTTCATACCTGTGCTTAGCCAGGATTTTACCTTTAAATGTTTGAAATGGCAGACATATTTGCTTTAAATCTAACTTTTGGCCAGTTTTTGGACATTTAAGTATTTACATATTCTTAACAGGCACTAAATAAGCACATCCTCACTGAAGTCTGTATCTGCAGGCACTGTGGAGTAAACATAATCACTGAGAATGTACCATAGTTAGCATTCACTTTCACTTTATACAGTAAACTCCTTGTTATCCGGCATCCACGGGGATTGGTTAATTCTGATTCTGGATAAATGTAGTTTCTGGTTGCTTGAGAGTTACTATTAAAAACTGGTCTAATTAATTCTATACCACATACTATACCATATCATAATATCTGTATTGACTTCATATTAATATTGAAATACAGTAATCAAAAGCAAATTAAGACAAATAGACACTTCGACTGAAATAGTAGCTTCGACTGATCCTTCAGCTCACTTCGGCCGCCTCTGCCCTTCGGTTCAGTCGAACTGTAGGGCTGCTGTACCAGCTATTCACTATAGCCCATACAGCAGCCGAAGGCAGCTGATCGGCTCAGCAGAGCCGAAGGCTCGACTGAGCCAAAGTGACAGCCGAAGCAGGGAGAAGGGCCAGCCGTTCTCCATGTGAATGACAGCTGGGCGGAGCCAGCTGTGATCTCACGGCTTGCTCCGCCCAGTTGTAATGACAGAGGTCATGGCCGACTCCACCCAGTTGTTATTCATTGGCCGGGACCTGCTAGAAAACTCTGGCAGGTGCCAGCCAATAGGAAAGCTGTCACCGCTAGCTCCGCCCAATTGTTTTTCTTTTTTTTCTTTAACCACTTCAAGATTAGGATTGAGGCTGAAGACCTTTCTTTTTCTCTGGGTAATAGGGAACATTTGAGAATAAAGAAAATATATTTAACTTATTTGTAATTGATGTGGTTGAGTAGGAAAAAGGAAACACAAATAATTTAAAAAAGGTGTGGGAATGTATAACACAAAATAGTACTTTTCCAAAAACACACTGATATCCCGCCCACATGGGTCCTGTGTAGACACATTGGAAAAAGTTGGTGATACATTTATAAGTTGTTTTTAAATTAAAAAGGGAACCTACATGAGGCTAATTTTCACTGGTCAGTGGTTGAGAAATCCTGTCAAAAGTTTGGATGGCTTTAGAGTATTATAGACCTCAACAGACCATTCTTTTGTTGGGTAAAAACAAAAGTATATACATGCGGTCCCCGGTTACATACAAGTTAGGGACTTTAGGTTTGTACTTAAGTTGAATTTGTACGTAAGTCGGAACAGGTACATTTTTTAACTGTAACTCCAGCCAAAAAAAAACATTTTTTAGTTTTGGGTAGCATAGGGAAGGGTCACGGTTCTTTTGCTGTCTGTTACTGTTGTTCAGAAGATGATAATATAATTTTAAAAAAATTATTTAAAATGACACAGCAAAAAAAGTTTTTTTTTATTTTATTTTATAAACTTTATTTTTTATTATTTGTTTGCATTTTACATTTTTATTTATTTAACTTTTTCTTTACTTTTTTTTTAAAAAAATGTCTTTTTAATTTAATTTTTTTTATATTGTTAAACTTTTTTTTTTTGTATTTTAATGCTGGGAGCCATAGCTAGCCTGCTATTGGATATTTCAAATTGCAATAGCCAATAGCAGGCTGGCTATTGCATCTGCCCACTGCCTGCTGTCAATCAGCAGAGGA